TCTATCTTCTGTGGAAAACTTTTTCCGAGATTATGTTGGAGGTTACTAATAAGTCAACCTAGGTGTTTGTATTTTATATGATAATATAATTAGAAAAATGATTTATTTGATATTATTGGTTTGATAATATGCATGATTGACCAACCTTAATAATTGAATAGTGTTTTGGACTATTTCAAAACAATCTTAGCACAGAAATAGTAGGACAAGAAGAGTTGGGTTAATTAATAGGTTAGTTAAATATTGAATACATTTCACTGCATTAAATTTCTTTCTATCAAAGGTACAAATTATAATCTTTCATTAAATCCTCTTATGTTTTTATTGTCTCTATCTAATGTATTAACTTTGTAATTAATTAATTTTAAACCAACACATTAGTAATGCTCTATGGTTTTGCTTAAATATAAATACCCATAAACTAATTTCAAGTAATCTGTTATATTACATAGTCATGCCTTATATAAGTGCCCAAACAACTCTTCCAACTCTATAACATTACCAAACTAATAAATAAAGTTATATTTATCAATTGGACAATGTGTTTTTTTTTTTTTTTAATGACCGGAGGTGTCTGGGCCAGTTTACGTGCATCTCAACTAATCTCTTGAGACCCTAGAACTACCAACCAAGTAAGAGCTCTAGTGACTATCTCTATTAGCACCTGGTGAAAGACTCAAAATCAAGACCTCTTGAGTAATACACCTAAGAGTCTATATCGAACGGCTCAACCACCCAGAGACAGTTAATTGGACAATGTATACCACCCAATTATGTTGTCATATACTCTTTGTAGTCTTATTATTGGATAAATTCATTATCAAATGTTTAGTATAAAAAAAAAAAAAAAAACCAGTATGAGCAGTATTCTTAAAAACAGAAAAAACTGAAGTGAAACCTAGTTGTCCTTCCTCTTGCAATCTAGTCCTTGAATAGGTAAAATAGTTCTGTTTAATTTACCCAATGTCCTATTCTTCTTCTTCTCTTATTCTTCTTCTTCACAGGCAAGCAACCAATTTACCTCAAGTTAGCGACATGGCAAACAGTAATGCTCTGCCCTGCCGACCATTTTAAATAATGTATGGCACAGTCAGGACTCTATTACAAAAATATTTCACCACACTTTAATTTCAATGGCAATGCTAAAGATCTGCACTTTAACTAAAGTATGACTGAGATTTTAAGCTACAATATAACTTTAAATCTGCAAAGGTGTTTGATAAAAGTTCAAAACGGTGAAGGAATGTGATGGAAGTTTTTGATTCACAGGTGACTACGCATAGTACATATGAGTTCAGAGTTTATCTTAATTTTTTCAAAAAGTAAGAAGGTAGTAGATGGATAAGTGGTCCCATCTCGGATCACACACCCACATTCCCACATCTTTTATCTTTGTGTTGTTAAATAAAAGAGTCTTTGCGTGGAAGCAAAGGAGTAAGAGGAAGAAGAAGAAGGTTATGAGAGAAATCAACAGAGAATATGGGCTAAAAGTTCGAGCTCCAAAGTTAGTAAAACTTTCTTGGTACAGATGAATCAATTTGCATGTACCGCTAGTGACCAATTTCCTTGTTCAGGTTCTCTTTGTCAACCCAATTGGTTCAATCAACTCTTGGTTTTCGGTGCATACATAATTTCAAGACTTCATATCCCTATGCTCGAGTTTTCCCATAAATTTGTCCAAGGATATGATGTAGACAAAGGGGGCAATACCCTAACAATAATCCAATAAAATAGTGATGCTTGATACATACGGGCTGTGAGTATTGGATTATAGTCTAAAGCGTACCTAATATTAAAGATAAAGATGAGTAAATAGTGTGTGTATTGGAGAGAGAAAAAAAAGAGTACAAGCACTAAAATCCTACCGAAGTTGAAGCAACAGAAGAGTAAACGTGGAAAGGGAGACCTGTACTCGTGTGGGTGGGGTCTTTATTTGTGGAAAACTGAGCCACACACTCAGACCCACAAAGAATGTTCATGGCATGGCTTATTTGTTCCTAGAATCCAAGCCTCTAATAGTTAATAAGTATGAACGGTGGGTGCAAGTTGCGGTTGAGGTGGACGTAGCCTGTTTTGGGTTGGTTTGACCCCACAAACCTTGCCTGTTAGTTCTCAGCTTATTCGTGATGGAAGTTTCCGATTTCGTGGTGCTGTTTTAATCTGCCTAAAGTGGATGGAGAATTCATATCTGGGGTGCATGATTTGTAACTTCTATTAACAGACACAATGGCCCATTCTGACTATAAAGTCTTCTAGGCAATAGGATCTGTTGCTCCTTTAAGAATGAATTATCTGGTGGCAAAAGGATTATATTGAGATTTGAGAATCAAATCATCGATACTTTTGAGGGCAAATGCAGAGGTGAAATTTGACAGCTAAAGATTTATACATTTTAACTACCAGAAATCCTAGTTTGCTATCCACATAGAAAAAGCCAGGAAACAGATTTCACATCATCGTGGTCTTGGAGATAAAAAGCTCTCCACATAGAATAAGGCATAATTGCAACAGCTTTCTTTGTTGATCTCCTTGTCTTTCATATATAGGTTTCCTCTGGAAGTGAACAAAATGACAGTAAAATGATCCAATTTCAGAAGTGACGCCTACCAAATATTATTGTCGAACATGACTTGAATCGATCCATGATTCCAAAAGTCTGTCTTCTGATTTCAACAAATCATCACGTCTATGATAATGGGTTTAACACTGCTTAATGGAACAAAAAGTAAATCAAAACACGAGGTTTAGGTCATTAATTTCCATCTTGCAAAGGTGTTTCCAAGCAGTAAAAAAGATATAATGACAAGAATACAGTCATATCACTGATCACTCCAATCTTGGGGACTACAAACAACGGTTCAAACAATAGTTCAATAGGGTTCTTTCCAAATATCCAGAAGCTCTTTTTGCATCTGTTCTTGTGTTTTAATCTCTCAGGAGAAACATAAGAGTTCCCCCAGATACAAGGCAATCAAGGAGTGATCCAGTTAACGAGGAACGGCTGGGTTCTGAAATGAAAATTTTCGCTTGAAGATTCAGCAGCAGCGTTAACAGCATCTTCACTTATCAGCATTCGGTGGCTGATCTTCATCTTTCTTCTGTTGGGACGACTAATAATTAAATAGGCAAAAGGAACTATAGTGAGTTGCAACATACATGTATATTTGTAAATTAGTTCCACTAGGAATTCATAAAAACAAATAATAAAAGGCAAACATAGATATTAATGCTATTACATTGATATAAAATCAAAACAATGTAAAGTCAGTCATCCATTCAAGTTTTACGGTAGAAGTTCTAATGGACACACCTCAGGTTGACCTTGCAGAGATGCAATCAGATCTTTCACTGAAGGATCATTTGGATCAACTCCTGGAAGCTGTGAAGCAATATGTCAGGATATAGGTTTATATGCTGCAATTTAGTACGAAGTTCATTAATGCTGATTAAATTACACTTACTGATGTAAGGATGGATGAGACAAAAGACTGATCCCCCAAAACCTTGTTAATATCTGATGGGTTTGATGAATCTTTTGTACCTTCTTGCATGGACATTTGAAGAGCTGCATGCAGTGAAATAAGTCAATGGGAGAGCACATTGTTAATTCTTTAAAACTAGAACTTTGTCAGCATTTCACGTCTTTGCAAATCTCAGTATGACATGCCAGTCAGGAAAATCTGCAGAATATCTTAAAATCTTCAATAATAACTTTAGTAATAAGGCAAGTTTAACCCAGGAGTTCCAATGGAAAGAAAGACATGCCACTAGCAAAAACCACTATGATTTAAGGTTGCATGAATCAGTGTCAGCTTGCTTTCTAGGAATAAAATTCATCTTACCCCAAATATTAGACAATTTAGGAGTTCAACATCTTAAACAAGTTTAAGAAAAGCCAAAGCAGTCGATGCATGAAACAGTACCAAAATAGACCATGCAATTGCTTTAAGAAATTCATATTTAGTTGCTTGTAAGCTGAAATAATACAACAAAGAAAAATCTAGCCTACTCAATTTATGATTGTTCTGAAGTCAAATAGGAGTACAAATAAACTAAATATCATCAACATTGAGAACCAATTTAGGAATGTATTATAATAGTGGCAAAAGAGCTGGACTTCAATATGGTTGATTGAGTTACGAACCTTTGGGAAGTGTCCATGACAAATTTAAGAACAGAGGGAAAATTACAGCAAAAGTTATGCAAATGACTGGATTGTACATTCTACGTAACTTAAGATGCATGCTATGATAGAAAAGAACCTACCCAAGGCCAACTCCTTATCTTCATGAGTTGCATCTGACATATCAGCATCGGCCACGGAGGCATCAGATCCAGGAAAATTCATGGACATAGCAAAAGCCTGCTCCAGTAACGCATTCTCCTCATCCTATCACAACAAGCATTATCAACACTAACTTGAAATGACATTAATTTATTGTTTTACAGAAATGAATTAAGATGTTACTCCATGTATTAAGCATCAAACATCACACATGCATACCCCAACCATGTACAAAAGTAAAAGGAGACACCAACCATTACTTCTGCAGTTTTCTCAGTTGCTTCAGTAGCTGTGTTAACATTCTCAGTCATGGTAGCATCCTGTGAATTAGAAGAGGGCTCCTCCCCTTTTCCTTGTCTAGCAGCTTCATCAGCAGCCCTCTTGGCAGCAGCTTCTTGCCTTGCTCTCTCCTCCTCCATAGAAACTCTGAGGGCAAGAGCTAGCTCAGGATCAATATTGGGATCTACACCAAATTCAAAGTCAGAAACACCACCAGCTGCCGCTGCTGCTGCAGCAGCAGCAAAGCCACTTCCTCCTTCACCATCAACATTGAATATGGGTGTGCTGCCAGAAAAACCAAACATCATTAGTTCAAGTAAGACACATAGGAGTTAACTGTTTTGATTGGTTTCACCTACTTTTCGAAAATCAATGTGTTAAGCTCATATCCATGATTGCTTATCATCTCAAGAACTGTTATTATGAGCACTTGTTTTATTACAGGCAACAATTTTTTGCAGTACTAAGTCCAAAACAACTGAAGAACTCCTCTTAATTGAAACATGTAAGCTGTTTACCACTTAGATGTTATACTCGTTCATACACCATTTTAATATACATGCTAACTAAAATTTCTTGTACTTATCAATTTTTAGATTTGCAGCCATAATTGAAACTACGGCCACAAAGCAAACAGGAAAAAATTCACACCTAATAAGTACATCAGAAAGAGCATTAGGACCAGGAGGAATATGAACTATATGACTGCTTTCATTGTTATTTACAGCAGCAAGTAGAGCCTCCAAGTTCTCCTGCTTCCCATCGTCTTCTTCACCAAAATTAACAATGTCAAGAGCTACACTATTCTTTTTCAATTTCTTTCCTATCATCTCCAGGACCTTCTTATCGTGTTTGATTGGACTGCAAGCATAGAGCATTAAAGATAATTATATATCAATAAAAATGAAAAATAAAAAACTAAAGATAAATTCGATAGATACCTTCCAGCAAAAACTATGATCCTCTGGCGTTGGTTTTTGTTTTGGCGATGCTTAAGAGCAAGTTGAGCAACCTGGATACCAGCTGCTAAGTTCATCTCGCCCCCCATTTGAAGTTCTAAACCAGAAGGAAGAATTTGGAGAGAGAGAGAAAGAATTGAAAATCAAAGAACCAAGATGACAGAGAATGCTTATTTCATAGACTTCATTAATGTGTGCAAAATAAACCAGCAGAATATCTACTAACAAGGTCAAACTTTCGAAAAACGTCAAAAGTTGCTTAAGCAACAGACTAAAACAAACTTCTTTCTAGAAAGTGAACAAATGAAACACAAAGCATATGTACTAGACACTCAACCCCATGCTCACTAAGGTTGCAGTAATAATTTACTTTGTGACAAAAAGCAGTCTGATTCTAAAGCTTCAATAAGAAAACTGAGAAAACCAAAAAAAGAAGTGAGCAACCATATCATGACATCCTTACAAGCTTACATACAGTAGCAACCATATCAAATATCCATTCACCATATAATCCATCAACTTAGGAAACCCTTTTTCACAATAACATGTAATTCAAACATAAAACTGCAACATAAATTCTATCTAAGTAGTTCCATTTTCATGCTCTGTGGATTAACATCTGAAACCCTTGCCTATATCAGATGTATCCTTATCTCTTTCCACAGTAAATATTTCTGTTTTAGTTCCAGCCATATATAACTAACATTGCTGACAAACTTCTCACCAAATCAAACTCAAAAGCCACAATAAACAACCCTTAATAATCATACTAATGAACAAGTACAAGCTTTCCACAACTATTTCAACCACCCTTTGATTCAACACACCAACTCCTATCACACCACAACCATATAAACAAAAGAGTAAACAAATTTATCTGATATCTATCCTCATCAAATAAAATGCCCATTATTCACTAACACCACAACCATGTTAAATCAATCTAATTACCATACTAACATGTCAAAGCTTTTCATAACCATTTAACGACTCTTAGAATAAATACACAAACTCCTATTGTGTGCAAAATTTTATAACTTCCATCATTACCAAACACCCATCATTCTTTAATACAAGAGCCCATTTGAATCAACCCAACCTATCTCACATCCAAACAAAATCATCAAAATTAGAATGCATACCGTGTAGACAAGCCAATATTTTTCCAAGATCGGTAGTTGGGGTAGTTAAAACACGAACCCCTTTTCCCGCCATCGTCAAAATCCCCACAGTATTCTCCGGATTAGACTATTCAACATCAAAACCCCTAATCATTATATCTATAGAACAAACTTCAAATTTAGAAAGAAAAAAAAAAAAAACAGAAAAAAGAAGACACGCATATTAACAAAATTACTTGTGTTTTGGCTCCGCAAATAAGACTAACGGCGTCGCATTGAGCTCGTAATCGAGAAGGAGAGTAATCGCCATTTCGCATCCATTCTGAATTGTCGATGCATACCATAGTCGCCTGATTTATAAAAATTTGGGGAGATTAGATAATAATTAACAACAATGTTAGATACAAAATGGGTTTATTAAAGAGATTACTGACCTCGAGAACCATGGTTTTGGTTGGATTTCTTAGTAGATTTTGTGAAAGCTAAACTCGATTATGTTAATGCTCACTATCTGTTTGTGAGTTTGCTTGCAGCAGAGGCTTTGTTCAGTTTCTAGACAAGTAGTTTGGATCTTACCAGAGGTTTCGTTTTTTGCCTTAAACGACGCCGTTCACTCTTCACTTTGACGACAATAATTAATACTCAACTTTTATATAAATTTTTTGTCATATATTATTTTTCAAAATAATTTATATAATAATAAATTAATAATACAAAGATACCACATCGATTCGTTTAAAAGAAACAGGATAGATAATTAATTTACATACCCTTTAGTCAATATCATGTAATTATCTTTTCGTCTTGCTTATTTCTTTGATATTATGAGATTATTTATTTATTATTATTATTTATTTTTTTTACTAGAGATGTCCATGCTAACTTGTGTATACTTTAACTAATCTTATGAAACTTAAAACTGTCGATCAAGTATAAGCTCTAAACTAATCCTTGAAAACCCTAGAATTACCAATCGGATACACTAATCCCTAGAAACCCTAAAACACTATCAATTAGATACAAACTCTAAACTAATCCCCCAAAACCTTAGAACTACCAACCAGATACAAACTCTAATGGTCACCCCTATTAAGGGCTACAATGACTCAAACTCGAAAGATCATGTAAACTTAGATCCTCTTTTTCTCTTTTACTATCAAATCATCCAATGATAGTTATATTATAAGATAATTGAAGAGTAATAATTTAAATTATTTTTCATTCAAATATTTATAAATTCATAATAATTTAATATAGTAAGTAATTTGATAACAATGCATATTGCGTATATTGTAATTGTCCTCTAAATAAAAAAGATGATTGGTTTCCAATTACTTACTTATTCCTTTATTCCCCAAAAAAATCATATACCATTCTCTAATCATACGCCATCCATTGAGCTAAGGATAAGTATAATCACCACAATGAAACAAAACATAAATTGAGCCATAAGGTTTAATAAAGGTCATTAACAATAATCCCATCACTAAAATATTTGAAAGCGTTAATCAAGATATAGTTCACTCTACTCCAACTTTTTGAGGTCAACGAACTTGCCCTAAAATATAAAAAAAAAACCCACAATATTTCAGTAGGGTTCTTCCCATAGATACTCCACAAGCTTGTTTTGCATCTGTTCTTGATTTGAACTCTCATGCATGAGAGATATACCACTTCCCTGGTTAAAAGGCGATCACGCAATGATCCCACTAATTGTATCTTCACTTGTCAGCCTTTGGTGGCTCATCTTCATCTTTCTTCTCTTGGGACGACTAATTAAAGAGGACAAAAGGAACAACTATTAGTTGAAAAATACATGTCCGGTATTTGATAATTTAGTTCAATTAGACAAACATATATATTAATGTAAGGGAATGATAATCAGAATTGATTAAATTTAGTCATCCATTGAAATTTTACAATAGAAGTTATATATGAACACACCTCAGATTGACCTTGCAGAGATGCAATCAAATCCTTCACTGAAGGATCATTTGGGTCAACTCCTGGAAGCTGCAAGATTAGTAAGTCAGAATATAGGTTCATACATTGCAATTTTGTCATGAATTCATTAATGCAGAAGGAAGCTCACTTACTGATGTAAGGATAGATGAGACAAAAGACTGATCCCCTAACACCTTGCTTATATCTGTCTGGTTTGATGGATCTTTTGCATCCTCCTGCATAGACATTTGAAGAGCTGCAAGCAATATAATGACATAGTGCAAGAGAATAATGTTAATTCTTTTTTATGAAACTAGAACTTTGTGAGCATTATACATCCTAGCAAATCAAAAAGCATGATAAAAATTGCTCTCAAAACTCAAGGATGACATCTTGTTTGGTAAGATTTGCTGAATATTGTAAATCAATTTAATGATGACTGGGGCAATATATAAAGAGAGTTTAAGCTGGGAGTTGCAAAGGCAAGAAAGACATGCCACTAGCAAAGCACTGCAATTACAAATTAATGTTGCCTGTGCCTTTCAGCTTGGATTCTAGGAATGGGATTCATCTAAAAAGTGTCGAGGAAATGCAAGCACACCAAACATGAAACAGCACGAAAACAGATATAAGATGGACTATAAAAGCTAATATGTTGAATTAAATAGCCCTACAGTTAAACCAACAATTGTTCCCTAAATGTACACTTACGTAACCTACATTGAGAAACCCTGGTCTCCTAATTTAATAATCTTTCCCAAGTCAAATAAGAGTGAAGATAAACTAAATCAACAACACGTAGAGAACAAAATTAAGGATGTAGTATAAGAGTTCCATAGAATTGGAATTTAATATGGGTGACTAAGGTTTCAGCCTGTATTGAAGCACCCTTAATAATTTGGATATACAGCAGCAATGAAACCAAAAAACATGCAAATAAACGAATTGCACATTCTTAAGTAATCAAGATGCCTCAATAGAAGAGAACCTACCCAAGGCCAACTCCTTATCCTCATTAGTAGCTTCTGACATAACAGCATCAGCTGCGGAGGAATCAGGTCCAGTAGTCTTCATGGACATTGACAAAGCCTCTTGTAGTAAAGCATTATCCTCATCCTATCACAACAACCATTATCAAAACTTATGTCAAATGAAAGGGTTTGCACAACATATTGTTTAAGAAAATGTTGATGAAAACAACTTAAGTGTTGGACTCTAGACATGAAGCAACATGCACTGCAGATCCAGACTTTAGCACGTGGTTTGCCAAACAGTAAGGTAGGAAATGGAGGGAGGGGGGAGGCGTGGGGAGTTAGGGACATACGACCCCAGATCCACCAAACATGAACGTCAGTAAAACGTGACACCAACCATTGGTTCAGCAGTTTTCTCCGTTGCTTCAGCAGCTGCCGTAACATTCTCAGTCATTGTTGCATCCTGTGAACTGGATGGTGGCTCCTCCTCTTTTCCTTCTTTCGCAGCTTCATCAGCAGCCTTTTTAGCTGCAGCTTCTTGCCTTGCTCTCTCTTCTTCCATGGAAACTCTAAGGGCAAGAGCCAGCTCTGGATCTATATTCGGATCTACACCAAATTCAAAGTCAGAAACACCGCCAGCTGCAGCTGCTGCTGCAGCCGCTGCAAAACCACTTCCTCCTTCACCATCAACATTGAAGATGGGTGTGCTGCCAAAGGACCAAAAAATCATATTACACATATGAATGCTAACAAGTTCAAAATGACTGAACAAGTCCTCTTCATTCACCCATTTTGACATACAGAAACTCAAATTTCTTGTAACTTAGCAGTAATCTTGTCAATTTCTAGATTTGCAACCATNTGAACTGGATGGTGGCTCCTCCTCTTTTCCTTCTTTCGCAGCTTCATCAGCAGCCTTTTTAGCTGCAGCTTCTTGCCTTGCTCTCTCTTCTTCCATGGAAACTCTAAGGGCAAGAGCCAGCTCTGGATCTATATTCGGATCTACACCAAATTCAAAGTCAGAAACACCGCCAGCTGCAGCTGCTGCTGCAGCCGCTGCAAAACCACTTCCTCCTTCACCATCAACATTGAAGATGGGTGTGCTGCCAAAGGACCAAAAAATCATATTACACATATGAATGCTAACAAGTTCAAAATGACTGAACAAGTCCTCTTCATTCACCCATTTTGACATACAGAAACTCAAATTTCTTGTAACTTAGCAGTAATCTTGTCAATTTCTAGATTTGCAACCATAAATGAAACTAGCACACAAGCAAATGGGAAAAGTTCAAACCTGATAAGTACATCAGAAAGAGCATTTGGACCAGGAGGAATATTAACTATATGACTGCTTTCATTGTTATTTACAGCAGCAAGAAGCGCTTCCAACTTCTCTGGCTTCCCATCATCTTCTTCACCAAAATTAACAATGTCAAGAGAGACACTGTTCTTTTTCAGTTTCTTCCCTATCATCTCCATTACCTTCGTATCATTTATCACAGGACTGAAAACATGGAGCAAAAAGAAAATCAGGAATCAATAAAAATCAACAAACAAGTCAGTTGGACATTAAAATATACCTTCCAGCGAAAACAATTATCCTTTGGCGCTGGTTTTTGTTCTGGCGATGCTTAAGAGCCAATTGAGCAACCTGAATCCCAGCTGCTATGTTCATCTCACCCCCCAGTTCAACCTCTACACCAAAGGAAAGAATTTGGAGAGAGAATTCAATAGCAAACAAGAAAAAATTAGACAACGCTTGACAAAATGAATCTACTAATGTGTGAAAATTTAACCTGCTGAAATATACTAACAACATAAAGGTTTCAGAGAAAGTGAAAAATTGTCTAAGCTAGTGACTAAATTGAACCTATTTCTTCAAAGTTGAACAATGATACATTAATCATCTCCACCAGAAACTCAACCCTATGTTCTCACAGGTTGGAGTGATAAATTGCTTCGAGACTGATACCTGATTCTCGGTCTTCGACCACCAAGCCCAAAGAAAACCAACAAAATGAAGCCAACAGCCATATCACCAAACTATTACGAGCTTACTTATATCAGCAATCACATAATCCTCAACTAAGTCAGCATCCTTATTCCTTTTCCAATTACATATAACATGATTTCTCTAATTCACCACAAATTTAAAAAAAAAAAAAAAAAAAAAAAAAAAAGAATACAGTAGTAGAGAACCAAAGATGCCATGGATTGAAAACACCAGGCCCAAAGCTCTCATCACCTCAAAAATCAAAAGCCACCTTGAACAAACAATAACAATCACACTAATAAACAACTCCAAAATTCACACCACCACCTAGTCGAAACAATCTAGCTAAACTCACATTAAAAAAAAAAAAAAATAAATACTCATCAAACTCAAAGCATACCGTGCATACAAGCCAATATTTTCCCAAGATCAGTGGTAGGAGTAGTTAAAACACGAACCCCTTTTCCCGCCATCGTCAACACTCCAACTGTATTCTCCGGATTAGACTATTCAACATAAAAATAAAAATAAAAACCTAATCATTAAAAAAAATTAAACAAAACCCACGAACAAAAACACGCGTATGTAAAGAATTACTTGTGTTTTGGCTCCACAAATGAGACTAACGGCGTCGGATTGGGCCCGTAATCGAGACGGAGAGTAATCCCCATTTCGCATCCATTCTGAATTGTCAACGCATATCATAGTCGCCTGATTTCATCGATTTTGGTGAGTTCAGATTGTAATCGAATAACTAAAAAGAAAATTTAAGAGAATAGATAACTGACCTCGAGAACCATGGTTTTGTGTCGAAAGAAGAGGAGAGCTTGTGAAAGCTTAACTCGATTTGAATGCTTACTATAGTCTCTGTGAATTGAGAGTTTCTTGGAGCAGAGGCTTTTGCTCAGGTTTTCTATATAATCATTTTGGATTTCAATCTACCCCGTTTTACACTTTAGAATACGGCACCGTTTTACCATTGCTAGGGCCAATGGGCCTTCGCGTAAGATAAAATAAAGCCCAAATGAAAACAAATTGTTCAAGTTCTACCACAAATAAAATAACCATTATATTGTATACAAATATATTATCATTATTCTTAAATTTACCCACCAAAAACATTAAATAATACCAAATTTTATATATTATTAAATTTATTTACTAATTTATGCACTAAATATATCTGATCCAATAACTATTAACTAGCTAGTATCAGTGTATCACCCTGATACTGAACTTGCCTGAAAATTTTACCTCTTTATTGAACAAGCCTCAAAATTGTACTGTCCCCACCTTGCATCAACTCGCTCGCAAGGGAAAACCAATTTACCCAGGCTGTTTAAATTACCCATGTTTAACACTAATCAGTGATTCAGTTCAAATATAATTAAGGTTCATAATATGGTATAAAACTTGAATCTGAGAACAACAAAATTTCATCTGCAAAAGAAAAGATACTGTGAGTTACCTTCTATTAACCGTTGTTAGTGGAGTGACAATGGTAATATATGCATACGAAAGAACAAAATTCAGTGTGAGAGTGTCGGATCTCTTACAGCATTCTTTTGTTGCCTTGTCGGATTTTCTGGATACTGTGAGAACAGCAACAAAGTTCCAAAATATATTTTGTTACACAAAAAGTTATTTAGGTGCGTATCGCGNTCTTTTTGAATTCTTTTTTTATATTTCTGAAGTTATGTGGAAACATATATTTTTTTTTTTTGTTGGGAAGCAGTGATTTGTCAGTTTGGTGTTACATCTGCGATGCATATTTGGATGCTGAAGTGATTTCCCAACTGCGACCTGTTTATGAGACTGCTTCCATACTGAAATCTGGTAAGGCGGCATGATTTCAATCGGGCTGGGTGGAAGCTCAGACGTCGTGTGAGCACTTGACCTCGCTATTGTCTGATCTCGCCCACATACCAATCCCTGATACACCCTGCAACAGGTTAGCTCTATTATTTATTAACATTCTTTAAGTGACTTAAAATTAGCGAGGCATTCACTCTTAAGAAAAAATTTGAGATTGAAATTTTTATTTCCCTTTTGTAACATATGGAATAGTTGGGATGTATAAGGTGTGACCACCCGAGGGAAAACTGGTTATGTTTGAGCTGTAAGGATGTGCTTTGCAGCCGTTTGGTGAACAAGCATATGCTTCAGCATTTCCACCAAACAAACCATTCTGTAGCGCTCAGTTACAGGTATGAACGAACTTTTTATTTTTCTTTTTCTAATTCTTTTTTTGTCTTATATTTCTGAAGTTATGTGGAAACATTTTTTTGTTGGGAAGCAGTGATTGTCAGTTTGTTGTTTCATCTGCGATCCATATTTGGATGCTCAAGTGATTTCCCAACTGCGACCTTTTTGTGGGACTGCTTACATACTGAAATTTGGTGAGGTGTCACCGGTTCGGACGGCTGAACTTACCAAGGTGAAAGATGATCAAGCTGAGGCTAAATCGTTAGACAGTTAAATATTAGTTTTGGTTTTGTAGTTTTACTTTAATGTATCTTTGGTGTTGGAATGGACATGGTTTGACTTTCAGATTTCTGATTGATTACCTAAAGCTAATGCAAAATGAGAAGCATTTCAGTGTACTGTAAAATTTATGATTGATATATCATGTCAAGACTCAAGTAGTATATGAAATTTGCCTTTCTGAAAGTTAGAATTGCTTGTGCAACTACTAATAGCTACTTCCCAGCGGCATGCATTGCAGCATAACAACTTCATTAGGGATCAGCCTTACAAGGATCCTTCTATTTCAAATTACCATGCAAGTCAACATAAGCTAATTTGAAGAAAGTTTGACGAATATAAATGTGGTGCAGTCAATGTGGTTTTATATATACATGAACAAGTAATTTGAAGTACAGTATTATCACTCAGGGAGACATTCCTAGAGTTTAAAGTGATCATTCCAATTTTTTTTTTTTTTTTTTTTGAAATTTAGTATTTGGCTATTTCAATATGCCTATTCCCAAAAATTTGTGGCTCCCTGTAGATCGGATGCGAGTTGCTCACAGTCCAGCTTGCCCCACCTTGCATCAACTCGCTCGCAGGGGAAAACCAATTTACCCAGGCTGTTTAAATCACCCAATGTTAACACTAATTAGTGATTCAGTTCAAATATAATTAAGGTTCATAATATTGTGCCAGATGGTTTAATTATAAGTCATCTACCTTTTGGCCCAACTGCCTACTTTGGATTACTCAACGTGGCAAGTATTTGATCAGTCTTGTGCTTTGTGGACCTTTTCTTTGACCTATATTCTCTGTTTCAAGTATTTTAATCTCTTTGTGCCTGTAGGTTACCAGACATGATATTAAAGACAAAAACGCTATTGGGACAATGCCTGAGGCTTACCCACATTTGATTCTTAATAACTTCAAAACACAGGTATCCCTTTCCCACTTGGGGAATTAAAGTGTTTGCTGGAAAATCAACTGGATTGTGTACATATTATGGTTGTGTTCATATTGCTACCACTTTTTGAACTTTCCCATTGGTATCACTTTATGTGTAATAGCATGCAACATGATAATAATAATGGTTTACGCTTCTCAAAGAAGTACTGTGAAAATACTGTATTGGCATTACAACAAGTTTTTCCTATTCTTTTTCTGGAAATCATCTAGAAAGGACTGATTATATGTAGGAAAAATAATTGTAACTTGTGAGAAGGATTTTACTAATACTTGATTGTTATGTCATTGAGGAATTTCGTTTCATTTCGTGTTATTGTGTAAATTTGACAATCTTTATTGACATATTGAACTGATATTGCATCTATGGATCTTTGTAATCATTGTCAGCTAGGTGAAAGAACAGCGAACATTCTAAAGCATTTATTTCCAGTGCCAAAGCCAGATGCTAAACGCATTATCACTTTTGCTAATCAGTCTGACTATGTTTCTTTCAGGTTGGTTTGTAGCAGCATATTTCAAAAGTTGTTTGTCTTGACTGTATTTTGGTTGTTGAACTTTATTTGTGTAAATGCTAAAGTGAATATGGATAGTAACAGACAACTTGTTTCTTGTTAATAACTTGTTTACACGAAGGCATCATATATATGAGAAGCCAGGAGGTCCTAAATCAGTTGTGCTGAAGGAGATTGGTCCTCGATTTGAATTGCGGCTTTATCAGGTAACAACATGTCATTTAGGTGGCACTTCATTTTTCAGTGTAGCTCACATTCTTTTTCCCTTCTCTCTTATTTTCTACTCTTTTTCTGGATATTCCTGTGTATACTTTCTAGTTGCTTGTATGAATAGAGAAACAGGTTTTGTTGAGAAGTTGGCCTAATAGATTCAATGGTTCATTTATTATCTGTTTACATTGATGATAGGTTGTCTAATTTGTTGCCATCAAGCAGAAGTGGTGTATTTTTATAGTGTAGTTTTGTATAACTGACTAATCTATTTGGTCCTCATTTTTCTTTCCATATGTTGCAGATAAAGTTGGGAACAGTTGATCAGAGTGAAGCCCAGATTGAATGGGTGATCAGACCATACATGAACACAACCAAGAAGAGGAAGTTCCTTGGGGATTGATAATCAGAGAATCGTTGCAGGCTTTATTCTTTGTGTAGGATTATGTTTTCCCGAGTACTTTGAGGTGTTGGATTTAACATAATTTATAAAAATTTTGTTTCTCACACCCAAATGTATGTAGCTAATATTCATGATTACATGGTCATATTATTTATAATTGATTTGAAACAATAGTAGTTTACTTTAGAACCTTCCTGGACAAGCTCAAGGAATATTTTCATTAGATCGAACGAATGTCTTTATAAAAGAAGTTAAAACTTATTCACATTGATCGGATTGATTGAGTGAATATAGACACGTGAAACATAGACAAGCTCAACAAATTATATGCAAATTAATACCAATTATTTGGTTCTTGCTTCTTTACATATATATAGTAGAGATGATGATAAAGAGCTGGTTACCAGTAAGTTGCTTTCAAGTAGTGTTAAATGTTAATAGGGAGGACAATGTGAAGGATATCCCTGTAATTGCAATAGTTGGGATTGGTGGGGTTGGAAAGACAACCCTCCCTCAACTTTTGCACAATGATTTAAGGGTGAAGAAACATTTTAGTCCAAGAATATGGACATTATGTTTCTGAAGATTTTGATGTGTTCAAGGTGTCTGAAGCCATTTTAGAGTCGGTGACTTCACGACATTGCAACATTACTGATCTAAATGTTATTCAGGTCAGACTGACTAGAAAAAGGTTTCTTCTTGTTTTAGATGAGGTATGGAATGATAATTTTATCTAATGGGATGTTCTCCAAACTTGCTTCAAAGCTGCCGCCAAGGGGAGTCGAATTATTGTGACAACTCGTAACCAAGGTGTTGCATATACAATGCAGGCCATTTTTACTCATCATCTTCTACAATTATCTGACGAAGATTGCTCGTCAGTGTTTGCAAGACAGTTTAAAATTGAGGAAACCCACTTACGTTCAAACTTGAAGCTAATTGGTGAAGAGATAGCAAAAAAGTGCAGAGGCCTGCCTTTGGCTGCAAAAACATTAGGGAGCTTATTGCACTTTAAGACAGAACCCCATGAATGGTACGAAATTTTGAACAACAAAATATGGGATCTACCAATTGATAAGAGCAACATACTTCCTTCTTTGAGATTGAGTTACTTCTATCTCCCTTCGTCTCTAAAACGATGCTTTTCTTATTGTTCAATGTTTCCCAAAGGTTATGTATTTGAAAGGGAGAAGTTAGTTTTGTTATGGATGGCAGAAGGCTTTTTGCGGCAGACAGAGGAAGGGCATGAGTACTTTGATGAACTATTATCAAGGTCATTTTTTCAGCGATCAAGTGGTAATGAAGAACATTTCATTATGCATGATCTTGTCAATGAATTAGCTCAATTTGCAGCAGGTGAATTTTGCTTCAAGCTAATTTAAAGATAGATGATGATAGAAAATATATAAAGCAAGCGCAGGCCCGAAAAAATGTGTGGCCTAATTGGAGCAAAGCCCACATAATTAATAATTGGGGCGGACCGGGGAAAAAGCTCATCTCGCTATCATACAAATAATTTAGAACATGAAAAATAAAATATAAGTAAACGAATACCATAATAAAGTCAACCAAATCCTTTCAGACACAAATTGCCATCTACCATCGTCGTCATCATCATCATCCTCTTCATTATCTTCACTTGCTGTTTATATTTTTTTTGAGTTAAAAATGAAGAAGGACTTGTGTGGGGGATCAGTAGTCCATGCTCTTCGACGGCTGCTCGACAAGTTTCCTTCTCATGGCGATTCAGATTTGCCGCTTAGCACCATCTTGAAGCTAAAATTGTTAATTGGCTTCATGATAGTAGTAGCTGAGCCTGAGGAAAATGAAGACCCCGAGCTTGAGGAGGTTGTACAAGTTCTTTCACATGCTCTTGCCACCGGAGGATTGACATTCAAATCGAAAGCGGAATCTCAGATCCATTGCCTTCCTCCTTCAGTAGAAACAGTTAAAACTTCAAAATCTCCGAAGCTTGCGGTGACATTTTCAAGATTGCCGAGTAAAGATTACTCCTGCATGAACGATGACAATGAATTTCTGTTGAGGAGATATGACAAGCTATCGGATTCTCTATCACAGGTTCCAGTTATAGAAGAAGAATCGTTAAAGGACCTAGTGGATACACCTTCACGGCTTCCAGTTAGAGAAAATTCATTGCAGTCACTTGACAACAATGTGCAACTCAGAAGGGATGATGAAGTTCCCGATTGTTTTGAGTCTGAGACAGGTGTTTCAATCGAATCGGGAAGCCCTCACCCTGAATCTTCTGTGCTTTTGACTGAGGATTCAAGTATGGAGTGTGAAGATGCATCACCAATCCCCTTGTGTACGACTGAAATGCCAACTGTCTGTAATTTTGTAAGCTTGAAAGTTTCCGAGATCTCGCAATTGATGGAATTACCGCCAGAGCTGGGTAGCCTCAAAATTAAGGGATGTGATGCCCTGAAGTATCTACCCGAGGAACTGATTCACAACAATCCTTATCTCCGACATTTGTATATCATTGATTGTTGTTTCTTTGAATCCTTTAATGGAGGCCATCCACCTGTTGCCTTAAAAACTCTCTATATCCGTAACTGTAAAAATTTAGAATTTCTCTCCCCTGCAGGCACAATTTGCCCTGCGCCACTTCTTGAACATTTGTGCATAGGCAGCAGCTGTAAATCTCTAAGTTCATTCCCACTAACCTTATTTCCAAAGCTTAGAAGTTTTGTTATTTGGGAGTGTGCAAATTTCAGTTCCATTTTGATAACAAAGGATCACATGTCACTTGAAACCTTGGAAATCAGAGATTGCCCTAAACTGATATCTTTCCCTAAAGGTGGATTGCGCACCCCAAACCTGACATCAATTTTGCTCTCTAATTGCAAGAATCTGAAGGAGCTTCCTCACCAGCTGCACCAGCTCAGATTTCTAGAGTCCCTGTTCATAAATGAATGTCCGGAACTTGTATTGATTCCAAAGGGGGGTTTTCCTGAGAACCTAGTTGTACTGTCCATCACTTCATGCCCCAAAGTCACACCCTATATTGAATGGGGATTGCATAAACTTGACAATCTTAGTCGTTTTGAGATTGAAGGTGGATGCAGTGACTTGGAGTCATTTCCAAAGCTGAAGCTGCTTCCCAGCAATCTGAGCACATTACGTATCAGCAGCCTTCCAAATCTCAATTTCCTGGACTATAAGGGGCTTCAACACCTCACATCTCTTGAAACATTTCAGATCAATTGCTGTAGTAGGCTTCGGTCCTTGCCTGGAGAGGGCTTGCCTTCTTCCCTGAGTTTTTTGTGTATAAGTGAGTGTCCTTTGCTGAAAGCAAAACTTCAACATAAGAAGGGGATAGACTGGTACAACATAGCTCACATTCCACACATACAAATTGATGATGAATTAATCTTGTAAAATCTACAAGATTCTTCCTACAACAAAAAGGAGCAATATTCAGAATGTCTAAAGCTTGTGATGGCATTTCTGAAGCTTCAATTTAAAAATGTTTTCAGTTACATGATGGCATGACACGATGCTGTGCAGAAGATATGAGAAACCTATGGATATATAAACCACCAAGACTTCCAGCTATAGTCGTATAGAAAAATTGCAGCTGTTTGATTGCAACGTGGGACAACTCAGAATGATGATGAAGTTGCCTCACAACATGCTGAGAATAGGATTGATGAAGTTGCCACCTTCCTCCTTGATTTTCTGTATATCAATGAGTATTATTTGCTATAACCAAAACTTCAACATAAGAAAGGGGAAATAGCTCATACAAAAAGACGAGGAAGTAATCTCGTAAGTACCTCTAGAAGAACCCGTATTTTTGCATTCACAGTGATTTATGTTACCATATATAAATTACAGCATTAGTTTAACTATCAGATTTAAAAAATAAAAATGATTAAGCTTTTCTGCTTCTTGATGTTCCTTGATCATTAGGGTCAATGCAGAAGTTTTCTGGGGTTACTAGCAATTCTCTGTTTCAAGCCAGGGTGGCAGTTGACTCTCAGTTCATCGGTTTGTTTTTTCAATAAATGACGTGATTGTACAACATAAAATCTCTTTCCATAATTGAGTCATCAGTTCCTTACAAATTCTTTGGCAGGTTTCCAGTCCCTGTTCACAACAAATTTGAGGCTACTGGTCTTCCAACAAGTCCAAAGTAATTACTAGAGCCATAACCATGCCAACACCTTATATGATTTTCAGCAACCAACATGATCATTAGGCGTTTGTTGAGACTTCAAATCTGGAAATGAAGTATTTGCTGGAGAATCCTCTAGATTGTGCATTGCTACAATCTTTAGCCATTGCTGCATTAGTGTCATTTAGTTCTAAACGTTTAGTTCAATGAATGAATATTTATTTGTTAATAGGAGTAAAATTATGTTTCTGGAGGATTTTGATTTTAAAATTACTTGAGCCGATGTATCTAATTTGAATATTCTAATTTTTAAGTTAATCCATCTGGTTTTTATCCAAGCAAGAAGTTTTTACTTGAAGGACATGATGGGACAAACTCAATAGGATTGTCTTCAGTAGATTTCCGCATACTTCAAGTGTTTCTTGCTGTACTGATTCACTTTCTTCAAATTTCTTTCTGAATTTGAGAACATCAAACATGATGGGACAAACTCAATAGGATTGTCTTCGGTAAATTTCTCTCTCCTATTGCTGAAACTCGGTGCTGAAGAGTCACATTGATGATGAATATGCAAATGCAACAGAAAGAGATCCAAAAGTTTTGCTGACTATGTCTCGGAATCCAAGTGCTCCTCTTACACACTTGTAAAGGTTGGTCCTGTGGTGTTGTATCTTTGATTAATATATATGCCAACTTTAACTATGCTTTTTGTTTATTTTGTTTGTATTGAGAATGTAAGTTTGTCTTGATCATCGGCTGTGTTTTTAATTGCCACTATTCCTGCAGGAATTGAAGTTTGTGTTCCCTAATGCACAGCGAATGAATCATGGTTCCCAGGTTGGCCTTTAATTTATGCTTGTCCACTCTTCGCTTCTGTGACATGTGCATAGTAGTTTTCAAGTCTTCATCTCTTTGTTTTGGTTCCTATAGATTCGAGTCATGGTTAATTACAATTTTCATTCATATACATCAAATGTATACCTTGTATATTAGAATATTAAAGCAACTCTTCCTTTCATGTGGGAGAATTAAAATACTACTGTGGGGCTCTTTCCTATGAGCTTTTAAGCTTTGGGAATTAATAGTTTCGCAATGTGATTTCACAGCCAATATAGTCAAGAATCCATCCTCATAATCCCTTCATACCATTAATTTGATTATGAGTTTGTCTATGCATATATATATATATATATTTTTTTTATCCGTGTGGCAAGTCCATTAATTTTGGTCATGCAAGGTAAGGGGCATCTTAAAGATAAAATCTCATGGTTGGGCTTCTTTTCTGTGCTTTTCATAATTAGCATCTCGACATTCAGCTTTAAGCTAGGCTGCAAACAAATATAAATATGAGAAAAATTTTCAAATTTTTCCTTGCAGGTTATATCTGAAATTGTTGAAACTTGCCACGCACATGATTTTACTGATGTTGTTTTGGTTCAAGAACATCATGGTGTGCATATTATGATTGTGTTCACATTGCTACCACTTTTTGCACTTTGTCATTGGTAACACTCTACGTGTAATAGCATGCAACATGATAATAATAATGGTTTACTCTTCTCAAAGAAGTACTGTGAAAATACTGTATTGGCATTAAAACAAGTTTTTCCTATTCTTTTTTTTGGAAATCATCTAGAAATGACTGATTATATGTAGGAAAAGTAATTGCGACTTGTGAGAAGGATTTTACTAATACTTGATTGTTATGTCATTCAGGAATTTCATTTCATTTTGTGTTATTGTTTAAATTTGACAATCTTTATTGACATATTGAACTGATATTGCATCTATGGATCTTTGTAATCATTGTCAACTAGGTGAAAGAACAGCGAACATTCTAAAGCATTTATTTCCAGTGCCAAAGCCAGATACTAAACACATTATCACTTTCGCTAATCAGTCTGACTATATTTCATTCTGGTTGGTTTGTAGCAGCATATTTCGAGAGTTGTTTGTCTTGACTGTATTTTAGTTGGTGAACTTTATCGTGTAAATGCTAAAGTGAATAAGGATACTAACACACAACTGTTTTCTTGTTAATAACTTGTTTACACGAAGGCATCATATCTATGAGAAGCCAGGAGGTCCTAAATCAGTTGAGCTGAAGGAGATTGGTCCTTGATTTGAATTGCGGCTTTATCAGGTAACAACATATCATTTAGGTGGCATTTCATTTTTCAGTGTAGCTCAAATTCTTTTTCCCTTCTCTCTTATTTTCTACTCTTTTTCTGGATATTCCTG